CGTGATGAGACCAGCAAACCATGGATGATCAAGGTGAAGGTTGAAAATCATTATGTGAAATTCAAGATTGACACAGGCGTTAATGTGACTTTGATTCCAGAGAAAAACTTTGCAGAAATTGCAAGTAATTCTGACATTGAGTGTGAATCGCCTGATAGAAAGCTCTCAGGAGTTGGCAAGTACATGTACCCCTGCTTGGAAGACCTGCAATAGAAGCCATGGAAATCATCACTAAGGATGCTAGACTTGATGCAGTCTCCTTGAAGACACAGATTGTTTACAAGGAACAGTATCCAAAACTTTTCAGTGGATTCGGAAATACTCAGCGTACGTATAAGATCCAGTTGAAACCAGATGCAAAACCATTTGCTTTGTCTACTCCAATGAAAATTGCACTGCCTCTCAGGAAGCAGTTCCAAGAGGAGCTTGCCAGAATGGAACGTCTTGGTGTTATATCACCAGTTACAGAGCCTACAGAGTGGTGCGCAGGAATGGTTTTCATACCTAAGCCTGGAAATAAGGTTAGGATTTGTGTAGACCTTACAAAACTGAATGTTCGCCCAGAGAATCACCCCTTGCTGTCAATCGAGCAGACACTGGGACAACTTGCAGGAGCAAAGTATTTTAGAAAGCTTGACGCAAACTCAGGATTCTACCAGATACCTCTAGCTAAAGAATCTTCTCACCTAACCACCTTCATTACACCCTTCGGGCGCTATTGTTTCAACAGGCTTCCATTTGGAATATCATCGGCTCCAGAGGTATTTCAAAGACAAATGACCCAAATCCTAGATGGAATTCAAGGTGTGCCATGTCAGATGGATGACATATTAGTTGCTGGCAATACAATTGAGGAGCATGATGCTCGACTCAAAGAAGTACTGGAAAAGGTACAGGAAGCAGGAGTGACATTAAACTTTGACAAATGTGTATTTGCACAAGCATGCATCAAGTTCCTAGGTTTCATCATTGATGAATCGGGAATCAAAGCCAACCCAGAAAAGGTCCAAGCCATACAGAACATGCCAGAACCTACCTCTATCTCGGAAGTCCTACGCTTCTTCGGACTGGTCAATTTCCTGAGCAAATTCTCACCAAATTTAGCAGAGAAATCCAGGCCAATCAGAGATCTTCTCAGAGTAGACTCGGCATGGTGTTGGGATAAACCCCAACAGGACGCATTCAGAGATATAAAGAAAGAGATAAGCTCTACACAGGTGTTAGCTCACTACGATACATCCAAAGCTACTACAGTTTCAGCGGATGCATCTTCTTACGGGCTGGGGGCAGTCCTCCTTCAACTACATGGAAAAGACTGGAGACCAGTTGCTTATGCATCTAGATCAATGACCACAACGGAACAGAGGTATGCACAGGTCGAGAAGGAAGCCTTAGCGCCGACATGGGCATGTGAGAAATTCTCAACATATCTGATTTGACTACAGTTCACCATAGAGACTGACCATAAGCCATTAGTGTCTTTGCTTGGATCCAAAGAACTTGACTTGCTCCCTCCCACAGTTCAGAGATTTCGCATGAGATTAATGAGATACCACTACTCCGTCAACTATGTTCCAGGAAAGAATCTTGTAGTGCCCCTATCACGTCTGAAGTGTTGCAGTCAGAACAGGAACTGGGACAAGAGACAGATATGTATGTCGACAGTGTCATACAAAATATGCCAGCGTCAGAAAAACGTCTGGATGAACTTCGCACTGAAATCGAACATGACGAAGTATGCAGAGAACATAAAAGACTTTGCCAAGAAGGATGGCCTGACAGACCAAGACTGAATGGAGCCATAAAGCCATACTACGCTTTCAGGGATGAACTAAGCGAAGAGAATGGACTTTTGCTCAGAGGGAATAGACTAGTTATTCCCATGTCAATGGGACTGGAGATGCTTCACAGAGTGAATCCTGCTGAGCCTCTTATCCCTTCCATTCTACCTGACCGTCCATGGCAAAAAGTAGGAATGGATCTGTTCATGTTACAGAGTACCAACTATCTGCTAGTCATAGACTACTTTTCCAGATACATTGAAATAGCGAAGCTATCACAAACCACAAGCGTGGATGTTGTCAACCACTTAAAGTCCATCTTCTCCAGACACGGTATCCCTGAGACAGTGATGTCAGACAATGGACCACAATTCTCCAGCTCCACATTCCAAGACTTTTCAAGAGAGTTTGGTTTCGACCATGTCACAAGTAGCCCTATATTTCCTCAAAGCAACGGGGAAGCTGAGAGAGCAGTTAAAACTGTCAAATTATTGCTCAAGAAGGAGAAAGATCCTTACCTGGCTCTCTTATCGTATCGTACTACACCACTGCAGAATGGGTACAGCCCAGCTGAACTTCTGATGGGACGACGCCTTAGAACAACAGTTCCAGTGCTACCAGAATTGTTGAATCCTAAACTACCAGACCCTTGTCTACTTAGGGACAAAGATCAGCAAAGCAAATCAGCCCAGAAGAGAAACTTCGATCATCGACATAAGGCTAGAGACTTATGTAAGCTTGAACCAGGACAGACAGTCTGGTCTAAGTCCTTAGGTCAAGCTGTTGTTGCAAGACAAACAGACTTTCCAAGGTCTTACATTGTTGAGACTCCTTCAGGCAGTTACTGTAGAAACCGGCAACAACTGGCACCAATGCCAGTATCAGCATGTCCAGATTCGCCGGCGGCACTTCTTCCAGTAGATGTACCTGTTTCACCATCATCAACAACTACAACATCATCTACCAGTGTGACTTCTACCACAAGATATGGAAGACGTGTGGTGCCTCCAAATAGACTTGATTTGTGACATTAATGTGTTAACATTTCTTCATGTACTGTTGAGTACAAGTTCAAAGGAGAATTTAAAGTTTGAATGTTTCAAGTCCCAAAATTCATGGGAAAGTTTTCAGTGAAATTCAAGTGTGCCACAGTAACATGGTAAATGTTTAATTCTAATTCGCGTTGTGCCAGATTGACTTTAAAGATGACTCTGAACTTTAATTAATGAAGGTTCTCAAAGGAAAGGGGGATGTAGCGTTATTGCTGTTCAGGGTAAAAACCCAGTCTAGGTTAGTTAGAGTTAACTCCCCTATGTTTGCATATTACGTCATGAGGTGACGTCATGATTGGTTTATGGACTCGAGTGGACGCCATGCTGGCTGTCGCATGTAACTCCGGTCAATAAATCGTACTCAAACGAACCCTAGTCTTAGTGTCAACGTAACACAACACTGATCAATATTCGTTGCCATCTCCGTCAACCATTTGTCAGGAAAGGATTTGAAAGTCCATCAGAAAACACTCCCATTCGAAAGTCCACGAAAACAATGTCCCAACTGAAGTGACAGCTTATCAAACTTGATGAAATTCATTTCAGAACACGCACAATTAAGAAAATCATACACGATCCACTATTTCTGGGACACAGATGTCTAAGTTCTGTCACTATTTGGCTTTGGATCCATGAAATCTTGAAATTAATATGTCACACCATGCAGATTCCTCGTTTGGCTCGTCTGCAGCCTAAAAAGCGGCTGTTCAGTCATACTCAGTCACATAGGTAATCATATGGATGTACCAGAAGGCTCAATCAATCCCAGATAATCTACCTGTTAATGTTGAACCACATCATAGATCGAGGTTGTCATTCTGCTTCTTTCTTTAACTCACTACGGTGAATGTTAACACCGATTGTCAGCCATTGACAGCTGTGAGGTGTGAGTAACCGTGATGTAGGTCAAGTTCTGCCACATCCAAGTTCGGGGTGGAGAGGCATTTTTTTTATTTTATTATTGTTTACTGGGGGTAATTGCTAACTAACTAATAACACTTACACATGTTAAATGTTTAATAGAATGTTAATTCATAAAGTTTGCTGTAGAAATATATTCGTTTAGCATTTTAAAACCTTTTTCTATTACCCGTCACCCCTACAATAGAAATGATGGCATGTTCGATTTCCAAGAAATGACCGCTCTCACAAAATTCCGAGAAAAGACAGCCAGTCCACAGTGTACAACAGTGTACAAACATCAAATTTCAAAACGCAGTAGGTTTATCTCCTAAAGCAGTACATTCATGAGAAATGTATGACCTTGCAAAAGATTACTAATTCAATACTAGTTATGACTAAACACACACATCTGTTCACCAAGTGATATTTTAAACCTTGCGTGATAGATTTCAATTACCTTGGGGGAATCAAAAATAAATCTGCGTTCACGATGTAGAATCAACTAATGATTGTGTGAATAACAGCTCAAAGTTTCATAACATCCGTGTATCTTGATGACAAGGGTGAACCTTAATTGCGGAACGAGAAGGTTGTTTTTCTCATACATAACAGGGCGAGTTCATTTTAATCAATGTCTCACAGATATCAGTTGAAGACATCATAGTTAAACGAAGACTTTATGGGAGGGGGTGACAGGTCCTGTTTCATTTAAAGTGATTGATCACCCCTCCACAATAAACTCGTCCAAACGGTAAGATAACATTCAACAAAACATGATTATGATCTATTTAAAGCATGGGATTTACCTGGCTAAACATAGACTTGGTATTTCACAACAGCCTGCAATGAGCTTCTTATCAGTACACGTCGGCCTATACGTATCACGTGACTCTCATTAAACAATCAGAATTGGTGACAGCTGGGGCGGTGCAGAAATGTCTTTTTTCATCAGTCAAATTCGTATTTGAACAGAGGCAATGGTTTCTACTATTAGGCGGAACCGTTATCAGATTTACTAATATTATTCTCTTACATCAATATGCATGAAATTCAGAGAGAGAGATAACAACTAAAGTAAGTAGAAAAGTAAAGAAAGTTTCACCTGCTTTAAACAATCAAATCAATATGCTATTCCTCTGATATCAAATCAGTTCGACGGTGTGATTCATGTGTTCTATTTTAACCGTACTTGGTATTTCCACTGACGTAATGATCACCTGACAAGTATGGAGGTCATAGGGTTATTGCGCAGTTACTTATTACATAAAGCCAAATGTCCGTTGGCGGGGCATTATTTCCAGATTGTGTGTATACAAGTAGGCCTCTCTACTATGAACAAGTGGTTGGTGGTTTAAACCTCAGGGATGTGTAATGCGTCAAGTGCAAATGGCACAGGTAGACATACAAGTAGACAGTCCTTCTACTTAGATCAGCCAGCCGTTTGCCGCTGACTAGCTTCAAGAGAGTGAAAATGAAAGCAGAAAGTGTCAGTCTTTCTTGTCAGTACAGAGCCTCTGCACATCCAAGACTTCTGCAGTCCCTCCTCGTGGGAACCACGGTGACTGTTACCTTGCGGTGTCAGGCTAAACTGTAGGGGATCGGGGAGCAGCATGAGCCCCTAGGTGTTGTGTGTAGGCCCACTGGACGTTGGACACGCCCTACCACAACTCCAATCATGTCCCATCTATGGGTCAAATAGAAAACTTTAGCATCGACGTTACCTAACGGTGCATCATATGTGAAGAATGTGCGACAAGTAAGTTTTACCTTTTACTTCATGGTCAAGTAAGCTGCATTCGTTTTGTTGTCTTTTTGTTTAAAATTTGCTATTTGGTCGCGAGCATTATTAAACTATTGTTGGGTTTAGAATGTTGTTTTAAAATAAACAATATGGCCTTCTTGGAATGATCATGCTGAAAAGCATTTATAATCCACTAAGCTGATTCTGAACCGCACTTGCTTGAATATTGCAGTCTTAGAAAAGACGCAAGTTCAATTCTATGTTGAACACCGCTATATCAAACAAGCTTAATCTTAGTCCATGTGGCATTTGTAAGGAAGCGTGGTAACCATACATATCGATACATCTCTGTCTGCAAAGGTTCAGGACAACTAATAAAAAATGAAAACAACTGTCATCTTAAGTATACTGAGAAAACAGTATGTGAAATCATGGGATGGGCATTAAGGCAAGAAGTAAGCTTGGGGACCGCTTGTGCTCCCTTCATTGTTGATATGTTGTTTTATTCATATGAATCTGAATTTCTGTTCGGATTGGCAAAATGTAAACATGGCAAAATGGCTAAGTAGTTTAAATTATGCTTTAGCTATATCGATGACCATATATCGTTGAAAATGGTAAAACAAACAATCCCATTCCATTGATTTACCCACAGAACATTGTCATCCCTGAAGAAAAAATAACCCTTTAGTTATAAGGACGTTATTTGAAATGCATGTGTGTATAAAATACTAGTCAACTTCCCATATAACATTTGTAAGTGTTTGCTAAGAGCACTGCTTTGTAACATTTTCAATATAACTACAAGAATAGCATAGTTACATAGGAAACGTGATTGATATAGTGTCCCATATTGTTCGCACAACACGCAAAAACGTGCGTTAAGCACGCACAGTTCAGTTGGCAACTGACAGACTTCTACTGATAAAGGTTCCAAAGTGCATTTGATACTCGCATATGTCACATGAAAATAAACTTGATACATTCATAGAATAAAAACGCCCTCATTGACATTATACATGTATGCGAATTATCGTCAACTTGTAATTCTCATCTATCTTTCTTTCAGAAATGTGCGTTCAACGTCTTGTTGCGAAGAGGTGAAAAGAAGTTGTTCGAGTTCGGAAGGAAGTTCATGAGATGGCCAAGACATATATACACCATTCGTCCACCCACAATCTAAAAGAAATAAAGACCATAGAATGATTTTAATTAATTTAATTAAATAGGGTCCACCCAACTGAACCAGAGTAAAGCCCCATACAATTTACGACTAAGACAGACGGTTGAACTTTAGGTGTATTATAGGCCGACAAGCCATAATATGTTTCGGTAATTTCGACTTCGCCAACGAAAATTAGGGCATTTGAGACTTCGCTGATTTGTTGTACTGTTTGTTTTTGTTCACATGTTCACCGAGAGCTGATGGCAGATTAGGAAACACGAACACGTGGGTTAGAAAAGATTTTGCAAATGTTGTAATATCTTCTGCATTATTCTGTTTCAGAACAAACTAATGCCGGTACAGTTTATGATTTCAACGGCTGAGTTCGTGTACGTAATAAAGCTATAGCACAGCTATGTCTGTTTAATCATAACTGTATCATAATAATCCTCCTTCCGGGTTCGAATAGGTCCCTAGGAACCCATACTGGTCGTAAGAGGAGACCTAATGGATTGGAAGGTCAGGCTTGTTGACATGGTTGAGTCAGTGTCATGTCCCGATGGCGTGGATCTTTGCTTATAATACCATTCACTAGATTTCACTACAAGCATAATGGATTCTTATTATTAAGCGACTATGCTTGTCGTAAGAGGCGACAAACGGGATCGGGTGGTCAGGCTCGCTGACTTGTTTGAGGCATGTAATCGTATCCCAAATGCGTGGATCGATGCTCATGATGTCAATCACTGGATTGTCGGGTCCAGTTGTTATTACAGAGTGTCGTCATGTAGCTTGGATATTGCTGAATGTGGCGATAAACAACAAATATACAGCAATAAAGTATACCTTGGGTCATATTTAAAATTGTGCCAATTACATATATTGTTTGCATAATGCAAATGCGGAATAACATATACATTCAGCTTGTTACAAACTGTTCTCACAATGGGGACTTATGTGTATTTTGCAGGACCGCTCATACACCATTGCAAATAAGAGCAAAGGCGTACATGTGTTCTATCTTGGCCCATTGGAGGAGATTCGCTCTTGGAGTTATGTTTCTGTTCGACATCACAGAAACAAGGAAAACAAAGAATATTGAACTGATGCGCATTGAACAGGGGTACAGAAGAATCGAAACGAATTGTTCCCCAAGTATTCCACTTGAGGACAAGGCAGTTATTAAGATAAAACCTTCTGGAAGCTTGACATATCAAGAGAGATACCCCAGAAAATGCTATCAGCTCCGATCCAATAAAAATGCATCTACAAATTGCGCACCACTGATGTTCGCAAAACGACCATGTAATCAATGTATTGGTGTAATAGTATTTGAGGATACGAACAAGCGAGTTATTCACTCATTTCCTCTAGGCGAAGTTGACGTCGACCAGGGCTCGAGAAGTAATCAGAATAGAGGTGGGTAACTTTATCAGTGTATTAAGGCAAAGGTTGTTGAAACTATTTTCAGTCAAATTTGGTTTCGTATAAAACAAACAGCGAGTGGATATATCATATCTATATTGCGACGTGAATAAATTATACAGTCTTAATACTCTTGGCCAGCACTCACTATCTTGCCTTGCTGATTTGTTCAGATAGCATCTTTGTTTTATGCAATTCAGTCCGTTCATGTTTGCCTTAACGTTAATATAATGTTGCTTGTCTTTTCAGAGCACCCGACACTGTCCGATAAAAGCTTGAAGGCTCTTTGGCGAAGCTTGACCGAGTCTGACTGGCAGCTTGTTGCAATAGAGCTGGGAATTCCACATGTAGAAGTATGCAGGATCTGGGAAGGACACAAGGCCAGTCCAGGATATTCAATGCTGCAGATGTTGAAGGGGAGACGATCCGGCGGTACCGATGATGCGATGCTTGATGCATTTGAATCAGCCTTGAGATGTGAAGAACACACTGACATTGCAGAACGACTAGCAGATGCGAGGAGAAAGAAAATATGCTTTGAATAACAAGCGTTCCCAAAATCAATTAACATAATCAAAGTTGAGGTAAAGAAGTTGATAATATATCAAACGATTGATGTTAATTGATAAGTTTTACTTTATTTACTTCCTGTGTGTGTTTTGTGTTTTCTGTTTTGTACATATTTCTCAATGAATATTAATTAAGTGATTCGGATCTGTTCGTAATACTTTGAAGAATGTACATTCATAAGACAAATTTGTAGAATTTATGAAACCTTATGTTCACAGACGTGTAAATACATATTCGTATTCACTGCAGGACAGTATTGACTCCTGCATATAATTTACGGTGAACAACTTAATAAAGTATCCGAACTACTCTTTGTTGTGTTTCTGTACAGAGCAAGCAGTGTTTACTCCGCATGTGTACTGAAGATACGCACGTGAATGTTTCAGTGAGTGAGTAAATATGGTTTTATGTCGCTATATATATCACTGCAGGGAAGAAAGGAACTTCACATATTGCACCCATGTTGGAAATCGAACTCGGACTTCGGGGTAACGAGGGTACGTTTTACCCACTTCCCCACCACCATGAGTGTTTGAAGGGACTGTTCCAGCATGGCAATCCACCTGAGAAGACATGTCTCAGCTCTGGGTTTGTTTGTTGGTTGGTTTGTTGTTTAACGCCGCACTCAGCAATATTCCAGCGATATGGCAGCGGTCTGTAAGTAATCGAGTCTGGACCAGACAGTCCAGTGATTGACAACATGAGCATCGATCCACGCAATTAGGATCGATGACATGCATCAACCAAGTCAGCGAGCCTGACCACCCGATCCCGTTAGTCGCCTCTTACGACAAGCATACCCGGGATCTTCACGGGACCTCCGGGCTTGAAGATTCAGGGCACCATTCTTGAATTCGACAGCCCCTTCGCCACTGTCGCTGCACTTTATTTCGTCAACCCTGCATATAGATGTATGATGAAATGATACTGAAAGTTCAAGTCGCACACTGTGAATACGTTAAGTTGACGATATCCTGAGTGAGTGAGTGATTTGGGTTTAATGCCGTATTCTAGTTGTATCATGGTTGTCAGCGGAAAGCCCGAAGTGATGCAGTTTACCACTTTGGTGACACCCACGGCCTGGGGTATGGTGCTGACAAACCAATAATCATAATCGGGACGAACCGAGATTCGAACCCACAACAATATGTTTCTGGCATGCCCAACTCTGCACATTGTATTGCGGCGCCTTAGACAATAGACGGTGCCCCCGATATCTTTAGAAATATTTACTTTGACAAAGTTATTACGTCCAGGGTGCGGTCAGTGTTTTGATTTTGAGCGAGTGTTTTAATTAAACGCCATTTTAAACAGTGTTCCACCAATATCACGGCGCGTCAGCTTGTGGGATGAAATCCCGAAGTGATACAAGCCTCAGACGTTTACCACTTTGGTAACACCAATGAGCACAGGTATGGTGCTGACATACCTAAAAACATAATGAGGGCTAATATGGGATCCGATACCACGATACTAGGGGACGCAACTCTGTACAGCGAATTTCAACGGGTCAGGCGATTGGGCCACCGGGCATTAGAAATTTTTGGTGACATCTGCATAAGGTCACGAAATAATTCAAATTTTAGGTACATTCAGTTTGATTCACGAGAAAGCAAAACATTTATCAATCACTGAATATGTACCATAAATAACTAAATGATTGAGTTCAGATTTAACATCTCATCGGCAATGAGAACAAATAACACAATAATACAAACCCTGCAAATTAAAACAGCAAGATAAATATAACAGTCTCAACATAACATAACAGTTAGGGACAATTATATGAAGTACAACCAAAGCATGCATGTTATAGGCATTCGCAAGATGTTTAATAATAAGATGTTTAAATAATTATCAGGCCAATTTCTTCAAGATTCATGCTCTCATGCTTGGTAGCAACATCTGGCATGTTTGGTGCTTAATAATAAGTTTGCTTGTTTGTTTGTTGCTTAGCGCCGTACTCAGCAATCCATCATCCAAGCCAGCGAGCCTGACCACCCCATCACTAACGGAATCGGGTGGTCAGGCTCGCTGACTTGGTTGATGCAAGTCATCGTATCCCAATTGCGTGGATCGATGCTCATGTTGTCAATCACTGGTTTGTCCGGGCCAGACTCGATTATTTACAGACCGCCGCCAGATGGCTAGAATATTGCTGAGTGTGGCGTTAAACAACAAATAAACAAACAAACAAATTAAACTATAACACCACCACCACCACAACAACAACCACTATAAGAAACTATATAGCAAGTTACTCTGATCTAAACGATATATCAATCTACACTGGTCCAAAAGACAATTCTACACGTGAAGATCGGGGATAGAATAGGTCTTCAACAACCCACGCCTGCCGTAAAAGGCTCCTGTGCTTGTCGTAAGAGGTGACTAACGGGGTCGTGTAGTCAAGCTCGCTGACTTAGTCGATGCTTGTCATCGATCCAAATTGCGTTGATCGATGCTCATGATGTCAATCACTGGACTGTCTAGTCCAGGCTCAATATTTTACAGACCGCCCTCATAAAGCTGGAACAGTGCGGCGTTAAACAACAAATAAACAAACAACAAAAGACATTTCAAGCTATCCTGATCAAAACGATATATCAAGCTTCCCTGGTCGAAAACGATAGATCAAGTTACCCTGATTTAAGCTACTCAGATCTAGCCCGTAATGTTATTCTTTTTTAGTTATCAATAAATTATCTGTTTCAAAGTCACAATATAGGACGTGTCAAAGCGACCTACAAGCCATTAAGCTTTACTATCAAGTGATCCTACATTGTGACCTTTGCTTCGTGATATAGTCTTTACTGAAATGAATCAGTAAGTGTGTTCATGAGTGGCGCAAGACATCACAGTGCCATTCATTCGTGTTATTCCGGGACAAGCCGAATAGCGACACGTGGCCATATTTGCGACCGGGTTCCGTCTTAGCGCAAACGGGCATACCTAAAACAATTGTCAACTCGTTGCGTAATGGTTCACACATTTTCCCCATATATTATATACATTTCGGATGCAATTTAAATCACACCAGGACGTGCGGAATTATGCATTATGATTGAACACATTTAACTGTGTCTTTGGTATAGTTTTAGATGCAAGACATATGTAAAATCAAACGTTATTTCTGAGGGATTCTTTGACGAAGAACTTGAACGCAATCTACGCAATATACGCGCAATCTGATTGGTTTGTCGTATTTTCGCACATAACATTCATCGATAGGGTGACGAGTCTTCTTGCAGGTTACGGAAAGGGGCGAGTGGTGGCGAATAAGTGCCATTGAGAAAGGCTGAAAGTAGATCCGTCACAAGGTGAATATGCTAAGTACTGATGAAGACTTACTTACATGCAAGTTTGTTAAGTAAGGCAGAAGAAATATGCTCAACATGAATGTCACATCCATTATTTTGCCGAGGATATGGTGTTGTAGTTGGTGTATTGACACCGAATGTATGACACTACTTCATTCTACACAATCAAAGTGGGTTTATACCTTGACAGGGATCGAAGCAGCGTTCACTATGACCTCGGATAGTAAAGTAGGAAAACGCACAGGGGGTTATCATTGTATCTCAAGCACAATTTTTTACTGTGGTCACGTTATCTTATCGGCGAGATCGTTCTGTATTTTGCAGCTTCGGTACTCTCATATACATCCGCAATGCGGCATTTGACACACCACCAAGGCGTGAGTCGGTTACAGTACAACTAAGGTGTGATATGTCATCAGATTGGCAAGGGACTACTTCACTGATTGACGTGAACCAGAATGACGGCACATGAATATGATGGAAAGTGTCAAGTGTAAGTTATATCTTGATTGAATTGAGCGGATGCATATCGTTTAACGTCGCTACTATTAAATTTTATAACCCAGCAATTTAATACACTTAATAGCCATAGCTATGTCAGTATAAAGAATACTTATCAATTATATCAAGACTCCTGTTTCGTAACGACGTTTGTGCAACTGTTGTGGCATTTGTAGTGATTATGTTCAATACAATGAGCACATACAATCTGATTTAAGAAATATAAAAAGGATTGTCAATTATCAAGGCGAAAGTTTCTAAGGCTAGGCTTTGTTTCAGGATTCCTTCAGATCTTAGTGACCTTCACGACTTGACAGACTCGAAAGGTCACGGCTTTATGTGTTGGCTGCATGATGGCCTGTATCTGCCATTTGGGCCACCATTACAAAATATAGCAGGGAATCCACTTGAAAACTACAAAAACATAAAAGCTGCTCAACTGAACGAAGATGACGTGGTGGTGTGCGCGTATCCTAAATGCGGTAAGTATTCATGGCATGAGTTTCACACTGTAATGATATGTTGTTAATCAGTAGGAGTGTCTCATTAGACGTGGGGTTAAATCGCAGTATTTTTCTATTTCTGGTCCATGCTCTTCATCCAGATAGTAAATATTGTTCGCCTATCACTTTAATATTGTTGGGTTTTCTTTCAATGTGAAGTTGACACGCCGTTACGTAACCCAAACATTGGAAACGCGATGTTTCGAGACTGAAATTGTTCAACAAAATGTTTCAAGTCAACCCATAGCTGATACCAAGCAATGCAGAGAGTAATCATAGACTGTCATAGACACATAACAGTCACACATCATCAAACAAACGGCGTTGTATAACACAGAGCATGTGAATTATTTCAATTGTACGACAGGTGGTGTATTGCTTACGGCAGAAGCACCAAGACGTTTCTTAATATGGCGTCATTGCTTTGTAATCTCGTTGCTTGGTAAAATAATAACTAATGACCTCATCAATCGCAAATCGAAGATAGTATGCAAATGTTTTTTATCTATCCCTTTATAGATTACACTTACATGTATAAATTAGAATGTTTTCACGTCTGTTTTAACCATTTAACTCTGATGACGAGTCCGTGACACGTCCAAAATGCTCAAACAGCGCAGCTCTCTATTCCTTACCAGGAGAGTGTTACCTCGTCCATATTCAAATCGAGAAATCGAGCCAGGAAGAGAAACAGGAGCGAAAACGTGAGTAGGAAAACAGTAAAGAAATTTCTTACATAAATGGTCTATGGCTAATGAAATTTGAAACTGGCGAGGAGATTTTAAGGCTACACTGTAAAAATATGTTTGGATCTAAACATGATTAGGAAGGCTTTAAAATCCTAAACGGAATACACATTTTGTGTGTTCTCTCTTAACCCATTGAGGTCTGAAACCAACTATCGATGAATAAGAGATGAACGCTGGGATGAATAATATATGTGACCCAGCAGGACACCTACTGGTGCTAGGATATAACTGTGCTGTGTAGGACACCTACTGGTGCTCGGATATAACTGTGCTGTGTAGGACACCTACTGGTGCTAGGATCCTACTGGTGCTAGGATATAACTGTGCTGTGTAGGACACCTACTGGTGCTAGGATAAAACTGTGCTGTGTAGGACACCTACTGGTGCTAGGATATAACTGTGCTGTGAAGGACACCTACTGGTGCTCGGATATAACTGTGCTGTGTAGGACACCTACTGGTGCTAGGATAAAACTGTGCTGTGTAGGACACCTACTGGTGCTAGGATATAACTGTGCTGTGAAGGACACCTACTGGTGCTAGGATATAACTGTGCTGTGTAGGACACCTACTGGTGCTAGGATATAACTGTGCTGTGTAGGACACCTACTGGTGCTAGGATATAACTGTGCTGTGTAGGACACCTACTGGTGCTAGGATATAACTGTGCTGTGTAGGACACCTACTGGTGCTAGGATATAACTGTGCTGTGTAGGACACCTACTGGTGCTCGGATATAACTGTGCTGTGTAGGACACCTACTGGTGCTAGGATAAAACTGTGCTGTGTAGGACACCTACTGGTGCTAGGATATAACTGTGCTGTGTAGGACACCTACTGGTGCTAGGATATAACTGTGCTGTGTAGGACACCTACTGGTGCTAGGATATAACTGTGCTGTGACGTCATAAAGAAAGACGTCTAACGTCAACTTACATACGTATAAATCGCCAAATGTCTGAACTGTACAAAACTATCTTATTTTCCTCTCGTTAGTTCGTGATGTGACAAAAACATTATTTCAATAACTTTCAGCATACATGTCTACTTTCAATTAATCATTATATCTAAACACTGCTATCATTACATAAACAGTCGATGTTTGATGTCATGTATCTACTGTAATAAAGATTAATTGAAAGTTATGAATTGATTTTGGGTGTCCTAAGATACTGTTGTTTTAAAATATAATGAGAAGTCAGGTTGTGATGTTTCACCCAAAAGGTCCCTTATCTCATGGTTGGTCACATATATTGAAATTAGATGTGAAAATCAGATTCACAGGCACTCGCATAACACATATACCGCCAGGACTTCCAGCAAACTTGGTACAATATTAACATAATCATGTACAACTACCAAATTCGTGAGTAGGTAAATTGACACTTGTGACGCCAACAGTCTCCGTAACACAGGTCGTAGCGGTAAGGACTACAAAACAAGAAGTTACAGGTTCGTATACCGCCGAGGTTTAATAATCTATGTTTTCATAAATGTATTGTTGCCGTATGACTGGTGGTATTTCTCTCATACAGCTGCTACCAATGAAAGTGAGTGAGTGAGTGGGTTGGTTTTACGCCGCTTTTAGCAATCTTCCAGCAATATCACGGCGGGGGACACCAAAAATGGGCTTCACACATTGTACCCATGTCGGGAATCGAACCCGGGTCTTCGGCGTGACGAGCGAACGCTTTAACCACTAGTCTACCCGACCGCCCCACCAATGAAAGTATATCTGATTACTACGATCGGCACTTTTAGTTTCCACTACCCAACCACCATCAAATTAATCCATTTATACTGCTAAATAGCTTTTATCCACACACTCACTTCTGTATGCCCTTTAAACGCTGAGAACAGAAAGCACCTCGTTTCAATTACCCACAAAGAATTTCAAGGGGTATACACATTTACACATGTTTTGCTATTTAACACAACCCTAAACTATGTTAAGACCTAAATATATCAAAACTATTGAACAAGGAACGTGTTAAAATTTGTGTTTGGGATCTACGAGACTCTTAAACTGCGCCCCACTGTGTTGCAAAAAGAACATAATTCTTAACGTTTTGCTTTCCTTATAAGCAGCAAAATCTCTGCACATGTACAGCAGACGTATTTCAAAAGTAACATACCCTTGTTATAAGTTTCAACATTATCTGTAATGGTTTCACGTGTCACTGGATTTTCTGTTTCGTTGGTCACTGTCTGGTTTGTTTACAGGCTGACGTCGCATAGTAGGAGTAGTGCCGTGCTGCGTCAGGCAATAAATACTTACTTATTTATGCAAATTGTATGAATGGTGGGTGCTACCGGTAGGGCAGGACATGCTTACCCTTTTCGCGAACACCTGGTGTCATCACTGATTTCCAGTGGTCCATTCATATAACTTCGAATTCCGTGCTATTTGCCAAGTGGAATCTGTTTCGCTGGTTATTATCTTGCATTGACAATTAATATTTACATGAATACACTCTGCCACTAAACCAGTGGTCAAATGTAACAAATGTTATATAGAGAATCTCACCCGAGTGTGTTTTGATATCAAAAGACACGAGGGTGAGATTTTATTTATCATCCAACATCATTCTTCCAACTTTTTCAATTTGTAGACAGTAATTAGCAGTGACTTCAGTGTACAGTACTGCTAACAGCTTCAATAGCAGAGCCATTAGTGATGTCATTTGATTGTGATGCCATGGTAACCAGTGACGTCACAATGGTCTGCAAAGCATTGTGATGTAATTTATTGCAGCGATATCTACAGTTTAGATATCGCTTGGTCTAATCCAAGCGATATCTCCTGTGGGAGCCAGTTTTGGATGATAAATTTGGGATAACACTTTCTTGGTAAAGTACATATTCTCGTACTTTAATGGGTTGAGTTCCATGAAAGAATTTTTCTGAAAACAAATAATGCATCTTTTATTACATATTCATGAAGACATCTGCTAGACTTTAAATTCATGATTCACAATTTGCACTTGCATGTTTATACACGGAGCACAATTTGGTTCTTTGCGTGTTTGTGGGCAGCATGATTTTTAACGTGATCAGCACAGTGATTGTGTAGCTCACGACTGGCTGAAGATCACCGTCAATCTGCGCAATTGCGAATAGCGCAAAACGAAGCTGCCAGACATGTTCATGGTGACACAATGCCACCTCATTTGAGACTTTATCCAGAGCAGGGCAACACTCACGACTTGCCAAGGACCGGTCATCAACGTGTGGCGTCATGCCAACTGGATAACCATATTTGAATGGTGCATCTACATAATTAAAAACCAAACTGCCACATTAACAGCTCGGACAATTCCAGGGTTGAGACCAATTAGTGGCAGAACCGTACGCAACCGGCTAAAGGAGAACAACATACGGCCCCGACGTCCAGCGATACGCCAAATTTTGCTTCCACGTAAGGCACGCCCATCAGCTGCCTCGTCTGTATCAACACAAATGGTGGTTACCCAACCCCCCTAAACCCCACTCCTACCAAAGCCCTCGCCCTCGTCCCATCAGGGGCTATCATGCTATCAACCACTGGTTTGGCTAGTCCTGATTGATATTTTACAGCCGGTGGTAATATAGCTGTACTATTGCTGGCTGCAGCATAAAACACAAAATGCTATTAATATCTGTGTTTCAAACACTAAAAAGCAGTTAAACTTGATAGAAACAAGACAAGACCATATGACTTTATACTCATGGTAAAGGTACAGTAGCGAGCGCAGGTGTTAATGAAACGGGAGAGTTACCATTGCGCATCCAACACGGCCAGTCAGTCAGAGCTGACAGTACTATTTCCCTTTGTAAGGTTGACTGCATGCACACAGATCACCACAAGTCACAGGGCACCGCAGTACAGCATGTGGTAGAACCCTTGATGTAACAAATACTCTAAATGTAAAATAAATTACATTAAAAGTTGCAGGTTAACCCTTGTTACAACTCTTAATGTAAAAAATAATCTTAATGTAAATTTCTGTACCTAAGGGTTGACGTGACAGATTATATTTAGTTTAAATTTAGGGTTATTGTTGTCAGATAATACTAGTCGGACCTCGCAGATTTAATTGATCGTAACTTTGTCCAGATATGCAAATGACTAATCATCTTTAGATTCCCTCCCCTCAACGACCACCTGGTTGCTATAAATAGTCACGGTCTCGGTCCCGGTCTGGTCTGGTCTTGCAGCTGTAGCTGAATGAAATATCTCGTCTCCATCCAAAATAGCGGTAGAAACCAGGTCAGGTCATGTGTTGAATAGACGTTCTGCATTCACGTATCCCACACTGCTTGTATTGTACAATTTATGTGTCATCGCATTCATTAAGACTCATTAACAACGCGATCATGTATCCAAACTATAGCATTATATAAATACAGGCAGTCATTTTAAATGAAAATATTCAATTACGATACACACAATACGACCACAACACAGTCTTTCAAAATGTTAATGTATGTATGTATGAACGTTTAAAGGCAATCGTTTTGGGATATTCATACACGGTACTAACCACAGACGCCCGATTCTGAATGTAAAAATTAGTTTGTGTTTGCAGCTGACTTTAGGAGACGACAGTATGGCCTTGCAGAAAGAGAGTCCAAGGTAGGCTAAGGACAGAACATGTTTGTAATTATGACTTTAACTTTTTGCTGAATGTTCTCTCTATACAGATTTAGGCCATGATTTATGGAATTTAGCTTCTCAATCAACTCCAAACTTTATACAGATGTCCGCTGCCGATCAGACCGTGTTCTTTATGCGGAACAATAGGGTGGTTCTACCCCTAGCCGCGCTTCTTCATCACGTGTATCAGCGAAGACAACTGTGTCTTTCGTCTCTACCAACTTAGTTCAATGTATTTTATTTCTTAGTATCAGAATGTTCTTATAACTGGTGATAACTGGTGATAACTTATTTTTATGTATATGTATGTACTGTGATATTTCTCATTTTTACTCATATGTATGTGACGTCCTGCGTGTCTCGGAGGCCATAATGTATTTTTATTGTCATCGTTGTACAGTGTGTGACACGTAAATAAAATAGAGCGGAAGGTCCGGGGTTCGATTCCCGGCCGCGTCATACCAAAAGACGTTAAAATATGATACCTGTTGTTACCCTGTCTGGCGCTCGGCATTAAGGGGCTAAAACAAGGACTGGTCGGCTCGGAGTCAGTATACCGTGTCTGAGTTGGGTATTCATGTTAAACTGCGGCATGGTATCTCAGTTGGCTAGCACTATAAATCGGCATCGGTCCGGACTAGTACAAGCAGCCACGCAAACACACACACGTACATGCACGTCGCTATATAAGTGCAATAATCTTGGACGCGACGTTAAACCCCATTCCACCACCAACAATGTGCCGGAGAGAGGGCCGAAGAATAATTTATAGATATATGCTAATGGAAATGAATAATGGAACACTTACTTTTAGACACAGTAAAATGATATAGCATAGTTTCACATCGTATTCCAACCACTTCTCCGGATAATGTATACTCATGTACATGAATGCCATTCTTCCCATGATTCCTTTGGGGATGACCTTCTACAGATGAGACAGAGAAAATATGTATAGATAAGACAGGTCTACATAAAAGTTTGGTTAAACTTTGCTTTGAAAAGTAGTTTAGTCACAGCGTGGGAGGACATCCGGAAGTGATGCAGGTCTTAGAGGTTTACTACTTTGATAAAAGTGATGGCCATGGGTGTGGTGGTGTTAAACCTGGAGGTATTACCAGTGCCATTCTCAGATTCGAACCAACGATCATGGATTTCTGACTATACGGGATAACCTCAGTGACTTATTGATAGTGTCATTGAACACAAAGACTTTGCTTTGTTCACAGATCCGACCCAGGGCCAGAAAGTGTGTTTGCGCCTGAGATTGCTTTGGTGGATCTCAACAACTCTAAGGGCCATGGCTTTAAGTGTTATCAGTACGAGGGTATATATTGGAGTTTGTGGCCTCATCAAATATCCAAGGGGAAAAGTCCAGTTGAAGAATTCAAACGTCTAAAAGAATGCACAATGGAAGAGGATGACATCATCATATGTGCATATGCCAAATGTGGTATTGTGACATCTAGCTATCTAATTATATCATAACACTGTACGAATATGACATAACTAACGTCAATACCATGTAGCTTACGTAAACTAACACGCACACATGAATATAGTTTACGGAGTGAGTCACCTATAATATATATCAACATTAAATATATGTATAACATAACCCGAGTTGCACGTCTTATTGTTTTGTAAGTTTGTCCGAGTATCTCGGTCACTGTTTCAAATACATACATTTTTTTATTTAGAGTGAAGGAGAGGAACAATATTTTTCCAGACAGGCGGCCAATCAAGCGAACATTTGTTAAAGTTTACAAAACCTGAATAAAAATTAGTTTTCCAGTATTTACACTCCCCACTGGCATGTGAAACTGTAGGCCGGACCATTCCCTTTATGACGCCATGGCATGTTTGACAATAATGTGTCATTATTAACACCGACAACATGTGCAAAAGTAACAATATATAATGTGACAAAACCCTTTCCAATAGAAATCTCTGCATAAAGCAAAGTGGATTGTACGATTCCAACTATATCATGAGCATGTGTTTATGAATCACAACCAAACAGTAAGGATACCAGGTGTTCGCGAAAAGGTGAGCGTATCCTGCCCCACCGCTGGCACAAGTCACAAACACATGCAAGGGAAAGTCAATTGTTCCCCTGAAAAAACACGGGAACATATGGTACTAGTCAAAACAGGGAATTGCATCGGACATCATTTTTGTCACTCATGCGTCACATTTGGAAATGTCCTCCACATGTCTACCATTAAACTTTTTGAAAGCTTTACTGAGTCCTTGAATGTTGTAACCTTGATCAAACAACTTCTGAGCAAGAGTTGTATGGCGCTCTTTGAAATCTTGGCAGAACCAACATGCTCGACTGTATCTCAAAAGTTGTGAAATGTAAACACCAAAGAATTGAGCTGCTGGAATATTGCTCGACATGAATGGAAAGTTGGCTATTGGAAATTTGAAGTCCCCCCTCTTTTCATACAGTCTTTTGGAGAGTGTTTTGGATTTCTGAATCTTTATGCATAGATCTAAATATGAAACAGATGAGACGGTCTCATCGGTGTCCTTTATTTCTAGTTCAGGTTGGTACTGAAGGGAATTGGCTATTTGATTGTCATTGAACGCTATCAGATCATTGATATACCTGAACCATAAGTTTAACTTCATGGCCACATTACCTAGTTTTGACTTTTGACAATCCAAACAGAAATTCAGATTCATATGCGTGGACGGTCATTAGTGCTGTTGGTGGTGTTGTAACGAATCCGAAGTCTTTCAATGGTTCGTACACTGCAGTTAAAAGCATTGGCAATGACTTTGGTACGTTGTCTGGCATTTAATCATCCGATGGCTTGTTCACGTTGTTGGGAGGATAGTCACAAAGCAACTGAATTCTCAGTAGGTGTCAGGTGGTTCTTATACAGAACCCTGGCACATGTTTCACGTGCATTTTAATTTTCCTGTGTATCACTTGCAACTTGCTCCCACGGGCATCTCACAGTTCCCAAGGTTCACAACTGTTACACTGAACGCAACCGGCATTATCAGTTGAATGTCATAAACTGGCTTTTTTTAAAGTCTAAAAAACATATTCATGAAGAAAAATTACAATTTTGATCATGCACAATTATGGCCTAATAATCCAAAAACACGACGTTTCTTTATCTGTTCAGTATATGTGGCATTATTTGACATGTCATTTCTACGTCATTTATACCAAGTTCTTTGATCAAACAATTAATGTAACGATGCTTACATATAATTGTTATGTTATTTGACGCCTTGTCAGTGGGAACAACTACAAACTTTTCATGTAGGGCAGCATAGGATTACCTGTCGTTCCCGTCATGAGAAACCGAACATTATGTTGGCATTTTTCAAAGTATTAAAGTTAACCTTTTCATAATGTGAACTAACAACAGAAAAGTGCCATCCTCAGCATCATCTTCCTTCTAAACCAGCCTTTTCATTCCACTTTTTCTTTTTTCCTCTTTTGACAGGAACCCACTGGCTGTGGGAGGTTAGCGAGATGCTCAAAAGTGGAACCATTCAGTATAAGAAGGAGACGAAAGAGACCCGAATGATAGAGTTTATACAAAAAGAGGGAATCGACAGTCTACAAAAGCCCAGAATACTGAACACACATCTTCCTCTGCGCATGCTCCCTACACAGGTCGTGGAGAAGAAGGTCAAGTGTATCCAGATCATGCGCAATCCTAAAGATGTATGTGTGTCTTTTTACAACCACAAGAAGAACATATTACCTTCCATTGGCTACGACGGGGACTTCGTGGAGTTCACAGAGGCGTTTTTGTCGGGGAAATGTAAGTTGCGCTTGGAATGGATGCCAAAGATTATTTAAAATAAAATGTCTCACCTCCTGTCACTTCCCATTAACCGGTATGTTTTCAGTGCCGTTTGGATCCTACCACAACTACCTGCTGACATGGCAGAAAGAAGTAGCCAGAGAACCGAACCTACCTGTACTCACCCTGCACTATGAGGTCATGAAGGTGGTGAGAATAGTTGGATAATCTGCTGGATCATGATCATACACTACTCCTCACTAGACGAAAAACTCTCTTTCCACGTTTGGGCAGAACATTAACACAAAAACAACTCAACTCAAACCCTCCAGTTTGAATTCCTTCCTTTTTTAAGATACACTTTGTTTGTATCAGTTTCCATACGAGTCTCGTTGGTAGCGTTGTGCAAGTTGTGATAGTATGTATGGTGTGTGACGTGTGAGAAAGAATGTGTTTGGAAATAAAAAAGATCCCAGCTTCGGATTGGCTGGGGACTTTTAGAAATTTTTTTTTTTTGAATTTGTTACTAATATGTTGTTATCATTAAATGTCAATCATACACACATTTTACACACATACATACACACGCACATACGCATACACCCCCAAACACACACTCTTAAACACACTAACCTGCCCAAAGTGTAAAATGGTTGGTCCCCAGTATAAACATATCACTCCCTACTTATTATTTCTACCTTGCAGAATCCTGTCAGGTGTATAAAAGACATTGCCACATTCCTGAATATTACTGTAACAGATACATTCTGTGAAGGTATAGCCGAGGCGTGCAGCTTTGATAAAATGAAGCAGTTTGACAAAGAGGAAAAGCACATGCATTTGTCACTCTGGAAGGAAGGATCTGGGGGGTCCTTTTACAGAAAAGGTAATACTTGAATTGACTGTGCGAGTACAACTGTGCGTCGAATATGGGGATATTAAGTGGGTTGAGTTCACTGCTGCATTGAACAGTATTTCAGTGACGTAGTGATGCATCAGCATTATGTGGGAGGAAAGCCCGACATGAAGTGGAGAAAGCCTGATGTTATATGCTTGGGTCAAACAGTTGTCTCAAGTCTCAAAAAGGTTTCCGTGTTGCACAACTCTCGTTTTACTCGGCATTAGATATTTAACATGAATGTGAAACCGACGATCACGGGCATACTGAATTGTGATATCTCGAGCATAACATATGGAGAACAGAAATATATTTTGTGTATCACATATAATATTCTTTGCAGATTTGAAAAAAACGCTAAAGACAAAGTCAACCGGTAAAGTCAATGCAATCCTCCCCATTAGAAACTTACGATACTGTTCCGACATAAAAAGGGTAATAAACTAATGTTCAAGGTTTTGTTGAATTTTGCATACTATTTCAGGTGAGGTTGGGGACTGGAAGAACTGGTTCACGGTTGCAGAGAACGAGAAATTTGATCGCATTTGGAATGACAAAGTGAAGGAATCTGGCATCCAATTCATGTACACATTGTGAGACTGTACATTGGTGAATCGTTTGTCAAAGTGCTGAAGAAACTTTTCATCAGCTAATCTAAGTGGCATTCCATTGTGGTGAGGAAGACCCCAAACCCTTCCGTATTTGATAATATATTGCAGTTATAAAAGATAAACGGTTTTGAGGTGGTCCAATAAAAGCCTGATCAGGAATATGTTAGACCTGTTTTGATTTATATTGTTTTGTTGTTGGGAAGTACAATATCACGAGTGACGGCATGGTGTTGGGTAACAGTATGCAGAAGAAGAAGATTTATTTAGCGTCAGAATCCAGCCAAAATCAACTACTCGAAAGTGCTGCTGGTGACTGCACTACATGACTCTGGATAAAAAGACAGTGTCTACATAAAAGCTTCAGTGAGCCTCATTGCTTGATGGGTTAAGCAATTCCTGCTCCTGAGCACTGGGACTCCAGCCTGCTGCTTGTTGACTAGGATCATTTAATACGTAATTCAGTCATGCCATTGTTGAGTTTGATGAAGTTCAGATTCTTTAAGTTCTGGATGTTGCCCATACAGCATTAGACAGATGAATTTGTCAACAGACCATTCCAAGGCTAAAACGACAGATATAACAGTATGTCGTCTGCGAAGGAGTAAATGAGTGAGTATGGTTTTACGCCACTTTTAGCAATATTCCAGCAATATCACGGCGAGGGACACCGGAAATGGGCTTTACACATTGAAGCCATGTGGGTATTCAAACCTGGGTCTTCGGCGTAGCAAGAGAATGCCTTAACCACAAGGCTATCCCGTCTGGGAAGGACGCATTGTGGGGAGAAGTAAAAATAGTGAAAAGCACATTCCCAAAACAGAGACCCGAGGGACAATAGTCTGGAAATGAGCTTTGCCCGATGCACTAACATTGTAAATGCCCTTCGCTTGACTGGTTAACAATTCCTGTTTCAGTGTTATGTTGAACTAAATGAGTCCTGAGTAATCTTCAACAAAGAGATCAAAAAGAACATTATAATTTGCAAGCACCCGGAAATGAAACTTTTATTGTGCATGTTTGTCTGACTACCTGTAGCTCTACAGTAGAATAGAGAACTACTTGTCGCCATGAAACAGTACAACAGAGGGCTATCTCCTGCCCTCATGAAGCAGAATAACGGACTACCCAGAGCCCTCATGCAGCAGAATAACGGATCACACAAAGACCTTGTGCAGCAGAATAAAGGACTTGCCACAGCACTCGTGCAGCCGAATAAAAGATTACCTGCAGCCCTTGAGCAGCAGAATAAAGGACTACCCACAGCACTCGTGCAGCCGAATAAAGAACTACCCGCAGCCCTTGAGCAGCAGAAGATTCAACAATATCTGTAATGGTTTCACGAGTCACTTTGCCAGTTAGGTTAGGAGGAAATAAACACTTGTCACACATCGACAGGACACAGGAAAACACTTCGTCACATTTATTGGCAACCCTCGAAACGCGCGCGAAACCCAAGCGAGCATCTAAAGACAGGCGAGCCTTTCAAGGGGGGCTAACTCTGCATTAATACATGCCAAGCAAACCTGCATTGGCGGTGGATTTTCTGTTTCATTGATCACTGTCTGGTTTGTTTACAGGCTGACGTCGCATGGCAGGAGTACTGCTGTGCTGCGTCAGGCAATAAATACTAACTTTGTTTATGCAAATTGTATGAATGGCGGGTGCTACCGGTAGGGCAGGACATGCTTACCCTTTTCGCGAACACCTGGTGTCATCACTGATTTCCAGTGGTCCATTCATATAACTTCGAATTCCACAGCTATTTGCTAAGTGGAATCTGTTTCGCTGGTTATTATCTTGCATTGACGATTAATATTTACATGAATACACACTGCCACTAAGCCAGTGGTCAAATGTAACAAATGTTAAATTTGGGATAACACTTTCATGGTTAAGTACAAATTCTAGTAATTTTATGGGTTTCCTCCCATAAAACAATTATTCTGAAAACAAATAATGCATCTTTTATTACATACACTCTCTCCAAAAAGAAACGCAACCCCAGTCTGAAAATGTGAGAAAACCCCAAGAAGAAAAATATTGATTGCAAATACAATTTTTCTGATATACACTTATACTATGTCACTGTTTATTAACGTAAGCGCCCAAACACACCAATTTTCGTGCACAAGGGCATTTTATTGTTACTTTTATCATAGTGAGCAAAATTCTCACGTGGCCCATGCCAAAAGCCTCATGCACGTGCAATTCATTTAAAGAGCAGTAGAAGTATGGGTTTATAAAAGCACGTGTTAATTAGCGATTCACTCTATCTTTTTCACCGAAAGACAAGGTCGAATTTGCCACGGTTGAGTGCTGCAGATAGAAATATCGCCATTGGTCGTATTGAGGTCGGACAAAGCTTTGGAAACGTTGCCCGGCACCTCAATGTTCATAAAACAACGATTTCACGACTTTGGAGCCGATGCACCCAGTTTCATGCAATTGAAGATCGCCCCAGAAGTGGTAGGCCAAGGGTTACCACACCACCTCAGGATCGATTCATCCGGGTCACCCACCTATGTAATCGGCTAGCCACACCTACCGTCACTGCAACACAGGTGCCAGATTTGAGAAGAGTGTCCGCACAAACAATTAGGAACCGTCTACGAGAGGCCGGTCTACGTGCAAAAAGACCATTTATTGGACCTGTTTTACGCCACGAACATCGACGCCAACGACTCAAGTGCTGCACCAGCGTTCGGATATGGACCCTCAGAAACTGGAGGCGCGTCTGGTTTAGTGACGAATCACGTTTTCTCTTACAACGCCGTTTAGCCCCGAACTGTGTTCGGCGGGTCGACAGAATTGGAGGAGGGAGCGTCATGATGTGGGGAGCCATGTCTTACAACCAAAGATCAGACTTGGTGATCATTCGTGGCAATTTGACAGCCCAGCGCTATATCAATGACGTCTTACAGCCTCATCTTCTGCCGATTATCGACCAACAGAGGGAGCTCTATCAACACGACAACGCCCGGCCGCACACTGCTCATGTAACAGTGAATTTTCTCCAAAATTCTAATGTCAACGTGTTACTATGGCCCTCCCGATCACCAGACATCAATCCAATCGAACATCTTTGGGATTATCTGGACCGACGACGAGTACGTGCACGTACACCACCGCCGCAGACGTTGGATGCACTAGCCGTTGCACTGCAGGAGTGGAGAGCAATCCTTCAGGAAAGAATCCGGCGTCTAATCCGTTCTGTTCCTAAAGTACTCACGGAAACTTTTTTTTTCAATTTAAAAATCGACACAAAGTGTTACGTAGCTGTAAATACGAAATAACAAAACAACTCGAAAAGTACTAGTCTGGATTTGCTAGTGTGATCTCAGTGAACAATACAAAATGTACTTTACAGGAGGTAATTTGTCGGCACTTTCAACATTCATAAATAAAACTAAGTCCAAATTGACATAGTAGAAACAGACTATAGGCATTATGCACCTGTTCTCACCTGTCGTCAAGGTGTCATAGGTCACCTCCATCTACTTACACCTGGTTATGCCCTGTTTCACAATAGTCTGTTTTATTCACATTTTTACACGTAAAAGTGTGTAAAAAGGCATAAACACATTTGATACGTTGTATTTGTGCCACGGCCCAATTAGTACTTATTTAGTTGTTTGAATATTACATATTTTGTATATTAACTTCATTCATTTAAGATCTGAGGTCGAAAAAATTTCCGTCATTTCCGTGACTACTTTAGGAGGTGTAATGCTGTGATCGCAGCTCGTGGCGCTCATACGAGGTACTGAGAAATACGCCCCCTTGCGTCCAGTCAATCTTAGTGAGAGAACTGTCGAAGTCTTGACTTAAACTTGTATAACTGTACTGCCACCATGCCAAATTTCATATTGTTGTCTTCAATAATAAATGTGTTCTAATAACTTGAATATTGAGATAAACATCTTGAAAATATAGGGGTTGCGTTTCTTTTTTGAGAGAGTGTATTCATGAATGAAATCTGCTCGACTTTTAGTTCATGAGTCACAATTTGCACCTGCGTGTTTATACACGGAGCACAATTTGGATCTTTACGTGTTTGTCGGGAGCATGATTTTTAATGTCAACAGCACACAATGATAGTGTAGCTCATGACTGGCTGAAGATCACCGTCTATCTGCCATTGGTAGACTGCAAACAGGAATGGCGCAAAACGAAGTTGCCAGACATTTTCATGGAAACACAATGTCCTTCTTTTGAGTATTCATCCAGGGCCTCGTCTGTATCAACGCAAATGGTGGTTATCCAACCCCCCAACCCCACTCCTACCAAAGCCCTCGCCCTCGTTCCACCAGGTTTAGCTAGTCCTGATTGCTATTTTACAGCCGGTGGTAATATAGCTGTAATATTGCTGGCTGCAGCATAAAACACAAAATGCTATTACTAACTGTGTTTCCAACACTAAAAAGCAGTTAAACTTGATAGAAACAAGCCAAGACGATATGACTCATATATTCTCATGGAAAAGGTACAGTAGCGAGAGCAGGTGTTTGTGAAACGGGAGAGTTACCATTGCGCATCCAACACGGCCAGTCAGTCAGAGCTGACAGTACAATTTCCCTTTGTAAGGTTGACTGCATGCACACCTGATCACCACAAGTCACAGGGCACCGCAGTACAGCATGTGAGTGTATACCAAGCGGTAGAAACCAGATCAGGTCATGTGTTGAATAGACGTGCTACATTCACGTATCCCACACTGCTTGTATTGCACAATTTATGTGTCATCGTATTCATTAAGACTCATTAACAACGCGATCATGTATCCAAACTATAGCATCATATGAAATACAGGCAGTCATTTTAAAAGAAAAGATTCAATTACGATACACACGATACGACCACAACACAGACTGTCACAATGTTAAATATGTATGTGTCACGCTAGATTCAGTTGCGATACAAGCGGAAAACAACACAGTCTGTCACATTGTTATATAATATGTATATGTGTCACGGTAGATTCAGTTCGATGCACACCACAGACGCCTGATTCTGAAAGTAAAAATTAGTTTGAGTTTGCAGCTGACTTTAGGAGACGACAGTATGGCCTTGCAGAAAGAGAGTCCAAGGTAGGCTGAAGACAGAACATGTGTTTGTAATTGTGACTATAACTTTTTGCTGAATGTTCTCTCTATACAGATTTAGGCTATGATTTATGGAATTTAGCTTCTCAATCAACTCCAAACTTTATACAGATGTCCGCTGCCGATCAGAACGTGTTCTTTATGCGGAACAATAGGGTGGTTAGACCCCTAGCCGCGCTTCTTCATCACGTGTATCAGCGAAGACAACTGCGTCTTTCGTCTCTACCAACTTAGTTCAATGTATTTTATTTCTTAGTATCAGAATGTTCTGATAACTGGTGATAACTGGTGATAACTTATTTTTATGTATATGTATGTACTGTGATATTTCTCATTTTTACTCTTATGTATGTGACGTCCTGCGTGTCTCGGAGGCCATAATGTATTTTTATTGTCATCGTTGTACAGTGTGTGACACGTAAATAAAATAGAGCGGAAGGTCCGGGGTTCGATCCCCGGCCGCGTCATACCAAATGACGTTAAAATATGATACTTGTTGTTACCCTGTCTGGCGCTCGGCATTAAGGGGCTAAAACAAGGACTGGTCGGCTCGGAGTCAGTATACCGTGTCTGAGTTGGGTATTCATGTTAAACTGCGGCATGGTATCTCAGTTGGCTAGCACTTTAAATCGGCATCGGTCCGGACTAGTACAAGCAGCCACGCAAACACACACACGTACATGCACGTCGCTATATAAATACAATAATCTTGGACGCGACGTTAAACCCCATTCCACCACCAACAATGTGCCGGAGAGAAGGCCGAAGAATAATTTATAGATATATGCTAATGGAAATGAAGAATGGAACACTTACTTTTAGACACAGTAAAATGATATAGCATAGTTTCACATCGTATTCCAACCACTTCTCCGGATAATGTATACTCATGTACATGAGACCCATTCTTCCCATGATTCCTTTGGGGATGACTTGCTACAGATGAGACAGAGAAAATATGTATAGATAAGACAGGTCTACATAAAAGTTTGGTTAAACTTTGCTTTGAAAAGTAGTTTAGTCACAGCGTGGGAGGACATCCGGAAGTGATGCAGGTCTTAGAGGTTTACTACTTTGATAAAAGTGATGGCCATGGGTGTGGTGGTGTTAAACCTGGAGGTATTACCAGTGCCATTCTCAGATTCGAACCAACGATCATGGATTTCTGACTATACGGGATAACCTCAGTGACTTATTGATAGTGTCATTGAACACAAAGACTTTGCTTTGTTCACAGATCCGACCAAGGGCCAGAAAGTGTGTTTGCGCCTGAGATTGCTTTGGTGGATCTCAACAACTCTAAGGGCCATGGCTTTAAGTGTTATCAGTACGAGGGTATATATTGGAGTTTGTGGCCTCATCAAATATCCAAGGGGAAAAATCCAGTTGAAGAATTCAAACGTCTAAAAGAATGCACAATGGAAGAGGATGACATCATCATATGTGCATATGCCAAATGTGGTATTGTGACATCTAGCTATCTAATTATATCATAACACTGTACGAATATGACATAACTAACGTCAATACCATGCAGCTTACGTAAACTTACACGCACACATGAATATAGTTTACGGAGTGAGTCACCTATAATATATATCAACATTAAATATATTTACATTTAGTACTAACTACTAAATGACTTTATCGCGCGTATCCAAACCATGGGCTTATTACGTCTGTAACCCAATCACCCCTCGTAACTCAATCACCCCGGGGTCACCACTCGGCACCGTGCCCGGGGAATAATCCCGCGCAAGCATCATCCCGCCCTTTGTTAGGCCGTCATTCGCGAACAGCCCTTCCCCAAGTACACACGTGTGTCACTGTATCTAATCGCTTTCGCTTTGTACGTTTCCTTTGTACACTTGGTACAATATTAACATAATCATGTACAACTACCAAATTCGTGATAAGGTAAATTGACACTTGTGACGCCAACAGTCTCCGTAACACAGATCGTAGCGGGAAGGACTACAAAACAAGTAGTTACAGGTTCGTATACCTCCGAGGTTTACAAAATCTATGTTTTCATAAATGTATTGTTGCCGTATTCTCTCATACAGTTGCTTTCAATGAAAGTATATCTGATTACTACGATCGGCAGAATTTCAAGGGGTATACACATTTACACATGTTTTGCTATTTAACACAACCCTAAACTATGTTAAGACCTAAACATGTCAAAACTATGGAACAAGGAACGTGTTAAAGTTTGTGTTTTGGATCTACGAGACTCTTAAACTGCACCCCACTGTGTTGCAAAAAGAACATATTTCTTAACGTTTTGCTTTCCTTATAAGCAGCAAAATCTCTGCACTTGTACATCAGACGTATTTCAAAAGTAGCATACCCTTGTTATAAGTTTCAGCAATACCTGTAATGGTTTCACGTGTCACTGGATTTTCTGTTTCGTTGATCACTGTCCGGTTTGTTTACAGGCTGACGTCGCATAGCAGGAGTACTGCTGTGCCGCGCCAGGCAATAAATTCCTACTTATGTATGCAAATTGTATGAATGGTGGGTGCTACCGGTAGGGCTACCCTTTTCGCGAACACCTGGTGTCATCACTGATTTTCAGTGGTCCATTCATATAACTTCGAATTCCACAGCTATTTGCCAAGTGGAATCTGTTTCGCTGGTTATTATCTTGCATTGACAATTAATATTTACATGAATACACTCTGCCACTAAACCAGTGGTCAAATGTAACAAATGTTATATAGAGAATCTCACCCGAGTGTGTTTTGATATCAAATATATCAACATGAGTTGATAAAAGTGGAAAGATTCCGAGGCTTACCGAGAATTTTTGCCACTTTTATCAACGAGTGTTTATATATTTCATATCAAAAGACACGAGGGTGGGGTTTTATTTATCATCCAACATCATTCTTCCAACTTTTTCAATTTGTAGACAGTAATTAGCAGTGACTTCAGTGTACAGTACTGCTAACAGCTTCAATAGCAGAGCCATTAGTGATGTCATTTGATTGTGATGCCATGGTAACCAGTGACGTCACAATGGTCTGCAAAGCATTGTGATGTAATTTATTGCAGCGATATCTACAGTTTAGATATCGCTTGGTCTAATCCAAGCGATATCTCCTGTGGGAGCCAGTTTTGGATGATAAATTTGGGATAACACTTTCTTGGTAAAGTACATATTCTCGTACTTTAATGGGTTGAGTTCCATAAAAGAATTATTCTGAAAACAAATAATGCATCTTTTATTACATATTCATGAAGACATCTGCTCGACTTTAAATTCATGATTCACAATTTGCACTTGCATGTTTATACACGGAGCACAATTTGGTTCTTTGCGTGTTTGTGGGCAGCATGATTTTTAACGTGATCAGCACAGTGATTGTGTAGCTCACGACTGGCTGAAGATCACCGTCAATCTGCGCAATTGCGAATAGCGCAAAACGTAGCTGCCAGACATGTTCATGGTGACACAATGCCACCTCATTTGAGACTTTATCCAGAGCAGGGCAACACTCACGACTTGCCATGGACCGGTCATCAACGTGTGGCGTCATGCCAACTGGATAACCATTTTTGAATGGTGCATCTACATAATTAAAAACCAAACTGCCACATTAACAGCTCGGACAATTCCAGGGTTGAGACCAATTAGTGGCAGAACCGTACGCAACCGGCTAAAGGAGAACAACATACGGCCCCGACGTCCAGCGATACGCCAAATTTTGCTTCCACGTAAGGCACGCCCATCAGCTGCCTCGTCTGTATCAACACAAATGGTGGTTACCCAACCCATGCTGTACATTATGTATGTATGTGTGTGTGTGTGTGTGTGTGTGTGTGTGTGTGTGTGTGTGTGTGTGTGTGTGTGTGTGTGTGTGTGTGTGTGTGTGTGTGTGTGTGTGTGTGTATGTATGTATGTATGAACGTTTCAAGGCAATCGTTTTGGGATATTCATCGAGTACTAACCACAGACGCCCGATTCTGAATGTAAAAATTAGTTTGTGTTTGCAGCTGACTTTAGGAGACGACAGTATGGCCTTGCAGAAAGAGAGTCCAAGGTAGGCTGAAGACAGAACATGTGTTTGTAATTGTGACTATAACTTTTTGCTGAATGTTCTCTCTATACAGATTTAGGCTATGATTTATGGAATTTAGCTTCTCAATCAACTCCAAACTTCATACAGATGTCCGCTGCCGATCAGACCGTGTTCTTTATGCGGAACAATAGGGTGGTTCTACCCCTAGCCGCGCTTCTTCATCACGTGTATCAGCGAAGACAACTGTGTCTTTCGTCTCTACCAACTTAGTTCAATGTATTTTATTTCTTAGTATCAGAATGTTCTTATAACTGGTGATAACTGGTGATAACTTATTTTTATGTATATGTATGTACTGTGATATTTCTCATTTTTACTCATATGTATGTGACGTCCTGCGTGTCTCGGAGGCCATAATGTATTTTTATTGTCATCGTTGTACAGTGTGTGACACGTAAATAAAATAGAGCGGAAGGTCCGGGGTTCGATTCCCGGCCGCGTCATACCAAAAAGACGTTAAAATATGATACTTGTTGTTACCCTGTCTGGCGCTCGGCATTAAGGGGCTAAAACAAGGACTGGTCGGCTCGGAGTCAGTATACCGTGTCTGAGTTGGGTATTCATGTTAAACTGCGGCATGGTATCTCAGTTGGCTAGCACTATAAATCGGCATCGGTCCGGACTAGTACAACAGCCACGCAAACACACACACGTACATGCACGTCGCTATATAAGTGCAATAATCTTGGACGCGACGTTAAACCCCATTCCACCACCAACAATGCGCCGGAGAGAAGGCCGAAGAATAATTTATAGATATATGCTAATGGAAATGAATAATGGAACACTTACTTTTAGACACAGTAAAATGATATAGCATAGTTTCACATCGTATTCCAACCACTTCTCCGGATAATGTATACTCATGTACATGAATGCCATTCTTCCCATGATTCCTTTGGGGATGACCTGCTACAGATGAGACAGAGAAAATATGTATAGATAAGACAGGTCTACATAAAAGTTTGGTTAAACTTTGCTTTGAAAAGTAGTTTAGTCACAGCGTGGGAGGACATCCGGAAGTGATGCAGGTCTTAGAGGTTAACTACTTTGGTGAAAGTCATGGTCATGGGTGTGGTGGTGTTAAACCTGGAGGTATTACCAGTGCCATTCTCAGATTCGAACCAACGATCATGGATTACTGACTATACGGGATAACCTCAATGACTTATTGATAGTGTCATTGAACACAAAGACTTTGCTTTGTTCACAGATCCGACCAAGGGCCAGGAAGTGTGTTTGCGCCTGAGATTGCTTTGGTGGATCTCAACAACTCTAAGGGCCATGGCTTTAAGTGTTATCAGTACGAGGGTATATATTGGAGTTTGTGGCCTCGTCAAATATCCAAGGGGAAAAGTCCAGTTGAAGAATTCAAACGTCTAAAAGAATGCACAATGGAAGAGGATGACATCATCATATGTGCATATGCCAAATGTGGTATTGTGACATCTAGCTATCTAATTATATCATAACACTGTACGATTATGACATAACTAACGTCAATACCATGTAGCTTACGTAAACTACCACGCACACATGAATATAGTTTATGGAGTGAGTCACCTATAATATATATCAAAATTAAAGATATGTATAACATAACCCGAGGTGCACGTCTTATTGTTTTGTAAGTTTGTCCGAGTTTCTCGGTCACTGTTTCAAATACATACATTTTTTTATTTAGAGTGAAGGAGGGGAACAATATTTTTCCAAACATGCGGCCAATCAAGCGAACATTTGTTAAAGTTTACAAAATCTGAATCAAAATTAGTTTTCCAGTATTTACACTCCCCACTGGCATGTGAAACTGTAGGCCGGACCATTCCCTTTATGACGCCATGGCATGTTTGACAATAATGTGTCATTGTCAACACCGACAACATGTGAAAAAGTAACAATATATAATGTGACAAAACCCTTTCCAATAGAAATCTCTGCATAAAGCAGAGTGGATTGTACGATTCCAACTATATCATGAGCATGTGTTTATGAATCACAACCAAACAGTAAGGATACCAGGTGTTCGCGAAAAGGTGAGCGTATCCTGCCCCACCGCTGGCACAAGTCACAAACACATGCAAGGGAAAGTCAATTGTTCCCCTGAAAAAACACGGTAACATATGGTACTAGTCAAAACAGGGAATTGCATCGGACATCATTTTTGTCACTCATGCGTCACATTTGGAAATGTCCTCCACATGTCTACCATTAAACCTTTTGAAAGCTTTACTGAGTCCTTGAATGTTGTAACCTTGATCAAACAACTTCTGAGCAAGAGTTGTATGACGCTCTTTGAAATCTTGGCAGAACCAACATGCTCGACTGTATCTCAAAAGTTGTGAATGTAAACACCAAAGAATTGAGCTGCTGGACTATTGCTCGACATGAATGGAAAGTTGGCTATTGGAAATTTGAAGTCCCCCCTCTTTTCATACAGTCTTTTGGAGAGTGTTTTGGATTTCTGAATCTTTATGCATAGATCTAAATATGAAACAGATGAGACGGTCTCACTGGTGTCCTTTATTTCTAGTTCAGGTTGGTACTGAAGGGAATTGGCTATTTGATTGTCATGGAACGCTATCAGATCATTGATATACCTGAACCATAAGTTTAACTTCATGGCCACATTACCTAGTTTTGACTTTTGACAATCCAAACAGAAATTCAGATTCATATGCATGGACGGTCATTAGTGCTGTTGGTGGTGTTGTAACGAATCCGAAGTCTTTCAATGGTTCGTACACTGCAGTTAAAAGCATTGGCAATGACTTGGGTACGTTGTCTGGCATTTAATCATCCGATGGCTTATGCACGTTGTTGGGAGGATAGTCACAAAGCAACTGAATTCTCAGTAGGTGTCAGGTGGTTCTTATACAGAACCCTGGCACATGTTTCACGTGCATTTCAATTTTCCTGTGCATCACTTGCAACTTGCTCCCACGGGCATCTCACAGTTCCCAAGGTTCACAACTGTTACACCGAACGCAACCGGTATTATCAGTTGAATGTCATAAACTGGCTTTTATTTTAAGTCTAAAAAACATATTCATGAAGAAAAATTACAATTTTGAACATGCACAATTATGTCCTAATAATCCAAAAACACGACGTTTCTTTATCTGTTCAGTATATGTGGCATTATTTGACATGTCATTTCTACGTCATTTATACCAAGTTCTTTGATCAAACAATTAATGTGACGATGCTTACATATAATTGTTATGTTATTTGATGCCTTGTCAGTGGGAACAACTACAAACTTTTCATGTAGGGCAGCATAGTATTACCTGTCGTTCCCGTCATGAGAAACCGAACATTATGTTGGCATCTTTCAAAGTATTAAAGTGAACCTTTTCATAATGTGAACTAACAACAGAAAAGTGCCATCCTCAGCATCATCTTCCTTCTAAACCAGCCTTTTCATTCCACTTTTTTCTTTTTTCCTCTTTTGACAGGAACCCACTGGCTGTGGGAGGTTAGCGAGATGCTCAAAAGTGGAACCATTCAGTATAAGAAGCAGACGAAAGAGACCCGAATGATAGAGTTTATACAAAAAGAGGGAATCGACAGTCTACAAAAGCCTAGAATACTGAACACACATCTTCCTGTGCGCATGCTCCCTACACAGGTCGTGGAGAAGAAGGTCAAGTGTATCCAGATCATGCGCAATCCTAAAGATGTATGTGTGTCTTTTTACAACCACAAGAAGAACATATTACCTTCCATTGGCTACGAGGGGGACTTCGTGGAGTTCACAGAGGCGTTTTTGTTGGGGAAATGTAAGTTGCGATCAGAATGGATGCCAAAGATTATTTAAAATAAAATGTCTCACCTCCTGTCACTTCCCATTAACCGTAATGTTTTCAGTGCCGTTTGGATCCTACCACAACTACCTGCTGACATGGCAGAAAGAAGTAGCCAGAGAACCGAACCTACCTGTACTCACCCTGCACTATGAGGTCATGAAGGTGGTGAGAATACTTGGATAATCTGCTGGATCATACACTACTCCTCACTAGACGAAAAACTCTCTTTCCACGTTTGGGCAGAACATTAACACAAAAACAACACAACTCAAACCCTCCAGTTTGAATTCCTTCCTTTTTTTAAGATACACTTTGTTTGTATCAGTCTCGTTGGTAGCGTTGTGCAAGTTGTGATAGTATGTATGGTGTGTGACGTGTGAGAAAGAATGTGTTTGGAAATAAAAAAGATCCAAGCTTCGGATTGGCTTGGGACTTTTAGAAATTTATTTTTTTTGAATTTGTTACTTATCTGTTGTTATCATTAAATGTCAATCATACACACATTTTACACACATACATACACGCGCACATACGCATACACCCCCAAACACACACTCTTAAACACACTAACCTGCCCAAAGTGTAAAATGGTTGGTCCCCAGTATAAACATATCACTCCCTACTTATTATTTCTATCTTGCAGGATCCTGTCAGGTGTATAAAAGACATTGCCACTTTCCTGAATATTACTGTAACAGATACATTCTGTGAAGGCATAGCCGAGGCGTGCAGCTTTGATAAAATGAAGCAGTTTGACAAAGAGGAAAAGCACATGCATTTGTCACTCTGGAAGGAAGGATCTGGGGGGTCCTTTTACAGAAAAGGTAATACTTGAATTGACTGTGCGAGTACAACTGTGCGTCGAATATGGGGATATTAAGTGGGTTGAGTTCACTGCTGCATTGAACAGTATTTCGGTGACGTAGTGATGCATCAGCATTATGTGGGAGGAAAGCCCGACATGAAGTGGAGAAAGCCTGATGTTATATGCTTGGGTCAAACAGTTGTCTCAAGTCTCAAAAAGGTTTCCGTGTTGCCCAACTCTCGTTTTACTCGGCATTAGATATTTAACACTCTGGTGAATGTGAAACCGACGATCACAGGCATACTGAATTGTGATATCTCGAGCATAACATATGGAGAACAGAAATATATTTTGTGTATCACATATAATATTCTTTGCAGATTTTGAAAAAAACGCTAAAGACAAAGTCAACCGGTAAAGTCAATGCAATCCTCCCCATTAGAAACTTACGATACTGTTCCGACATAAAAAGGGTAATAAACTAATGTTCAAGGTTTTGTTGAATTTTGCATACTATTTCAGGTGAGGTTGGGGACTGGAAGAACTGGTTCACGGTTGCAGAGAACGAGAAATTTGATCGCATTTGGAATGACAAAATGAAGGGATCTGGCATCCAATTCATGTACACATTGTGAGAATGTACATTGGTGAATCGTTTGTCAAAGTGCTGATGAAACTTTTCATCAGCTAATCTAAGTGGCATTCCATTGTGGTGAGGAAGACCCCAAACCCTTCCGTATTTGATAATATATTGCAGTTATAAAAGATAAACGGTTTTGAGGTTGTCCAATAAAAGCCTGATCAGGAATATGTTAGACCTGTTTTGATTTATATTGTTTTGTTGTTGGGAAGTACAATGTTCACGTATGACGGCATGGTGTTGGGTAACAGTATGCAGAAGAAGAAGATTTATTTAGCGTCAGAATCCAGCCAAAATTAACTACTCGAAAGTGCTGCTGGTGACTGCACTACAGGACTCTGGATAAAAAGAGAGTGTCTACATAAAAGCTTCAGTGAGCCTCATTGCTTGATCGGTTAAGCAATTCCTGATCCTGAGCACTAGGACTCCAGCCTGCTGCTTGTTGACTTGGATCATGTAATACGTAATTCAGTCATGCCATTGTTAAGTTTGATGAAGTTCAGATTCTTTAAGTTCTGGATGTTGCCCATACAGCATTAGACAGTTGAATTTGTCAATAGACCATTCACAGGCTAAAACGACAGATATAACAGTGCGTCGTCTGCGAAGGAGTAAATGAGTGAGTATGTTTTACGCCACTTTTAGCAATATTCCAGCAATATCACGGTGAAGGACACCAGAAATGGGCTTTACACATGGAAGCCATGTGGGTATTCAAACCTGGGTCTTCGGCGTAGCAAGAGAATGCCTTAAACACAAGGCTATCCCGTCTGGGAAGGACGCATTGTGAGAAGAAGTGAAAATAATGAAAAGCACATTCCCAAAACAGACACCTTAGGGACACCAGTCTGGAGGTAAGCTTTGCCCGATGCACTAACATTGTAAATGCCCTTCGCTTGACTGGTTAACAATTCCAGTTTCAGTGTTTTGTTGCACTAAATGAGTCCTGAGTAATCTTCAATAAAGAGATCAAATAGAACATTATAATTTGCATGCACCCGGAAATGATACTTTTATTGTGCATGTTTGTCTGACTACATGTAGCTCTACAGTAGAATAGAGAACTACTTGTCGCCATGAAACAGTACAACAGAGGGCTATCTCCTGCCCTCATGAAGCAGAATAACGGACTACCCAGAGCCCTCATGCAGCAGAATAACGGATCACACAAAGACCTTGTGCAGCAGAATAAAGGACTTGCCACAGCACTCGTGCAGCCGAATAAAGGATTACCTGCAGCCCTTGAGCAGCAGAATAAAGGACTACCCACAGCACTCGTGCAGCCGAATAAAGAACTACCCGCAGCCCTTGAGCAGCAGAAGATTCAACACGAATCACTGCGCCAGTTAGGTTAGGAGGAAAAAAACACTTGTCACACATCGACAGGACACAGGTAAACACTTCGTCACATTAATTGGCAACCCTCGAAACGCGCGCGAGACCCAAGCGAGCATCTAAAGACAGGCGGTTTGTTTACAGGCTGACGTCGCATGGCAGGAGTACTGCTGTGCTGCGTCAGGCAATAAATACTAACTTTGTTTATGCAAATTGTATGAATGGTGGGTGCTACCGGTAGGGCAGGACATGCTTACCCTTTTCGCGAACACCTGGTGTCATCACTGATTTCCAGTGGTCCATTCTTATAACTTCGAATTCCACAGCTATTTGCTAAGTGGAATCTGTTTCGCTGGTTATTATCTTGCATTGACGATTAATATTTACATGAATACACACTGCCACTAAGCCAGTGGTCAAATGTAACAAATGTTAAATTTGGGATAACACTTTCATGGTTAAGTACAAATTCTAGTAATTTTATGGGTTTCGTCCCATAAAACAATTATTCTGAAAACAAATAATGCATCTTTTATTACATACACTCTCTCCAAAAAGAAACGCAACCCCAGTCTGAAAATGTGAGAAAACCCCAAGAAGAAAAATATTGATTGTAAATACAATTTTTCTGATATATACTTATACCATGTACACTGTTTTTTAACGTAAGCGCCCAAACACACCAATTTTCGTGCACAAGGGCATTTTATTGTTACTTTTATCATAGTGAGCAAAATTTTCACGTGGCCCATGCCAAAAGCCTCATGCACGTGCAATTCATGGAAAGAGCAGTAGAAGTATGGGTTTATAAAAGCACGTGTTAATTAGCGATTCACTCTATCTTTTTCACCGTAAGACAAGGTCGAATATGCCACGGTTGAGTGCTGCAGATAGAAATATCGCCATTGGTCGTATTGAGGCCGGACAAAGCTTTGGAAACGTTGCCCGGCACCTCAATGTTCATAAAACAACGATTTCACGACTTTGGAGCCGATGCACCAAGTTTCATGCAACTGAAGATCGCCCCAGAAGTGGTAGGCCAAGGGTTACCACACCACCTCAGGATCGATTCATCCGGGTCACCCACCTATGTAATCGGCTAGCCACACCTACCGTCACTGCAACACAGGTGCCAGATTTGAGAAAAGTGTCCGCACAAACAATTAGGAACCGTCTACGAGAGGCCGGTCTACGTGCAAGAAAACCATTTATTGGACCTGTTTTACGCCACGAACATCGACGCCAACGACTCAGGTGCTGCACCAACGTTCGGGTATGGACCCTCAGAAACTGGAGGCGCGACTGGTTTAGTGACGAATCACGTTTTCTCTTACAACGCCGTTTAGCCCCGAACTGTGTTCGGCGGGTCGACAGAATTGGAGGAGGGAGCGTCATGGTGTGGGGAGCCATGTCTTACAACCAAAGATCAGACTTAGTGATCATTCGTGGCAATTTGACAGCCCAGCGCTATATCAATGATGTCCTACAGCCTCATCTTCTGCCGATTATCGACCAACAGAGGGAGCTCTATCAACACGACAACGCCCGGCCGCACACTGCTCATGCAACAGTGAATTTTCTCCAGAATTCTAATGTCAACGTGTTACTATGGCCCTCCCGATCACCAGACATCAACCCAATCGATCACCTTTGACATAGCAGAAACAGACTATAGGCATTATGCACCTGTTCTCACCTGTCGTCAAGGTGTCATAGGTCACCTTAATCTAATTACACCTGGTTATGCCCTGTTTCACAATAGTCTGTTTTATTCACATTTTTACACACTTTTACGTGTAAAAAGGCATAAACACATTTGATACGTTGTATTTGTGCCACGGCCCAATTAGTACTAATTTAGTTGTTTGAATATTTTTATATTTTGTATATTAACTTCATTCATTTAAGATCTGAGGTCGAAAAAATTTCCGTCATTTCCGTGACTACTTTAGGAGGTGTAATGCTGTGATCGCAGCTCGTGGCGCTCATACGAGGTACTGAGAAATACGCCCCCTTGCGTCCAGTCAATCTTAGTGAGAGAACTGTCGAAGTCTTGACTTAAACTTGCATAACTGTACTGCGACCATGCCAAATTTCATATTGTTGTCTTCAATAATAAATGTGTTCTAATAACTTGAATATTGAGATAAACATCTTGAAAATATAGGGGTTGCGTTTCTTTTTTGAGAGAGTGTATTCATGAATGAAATCTGCTCGACTTTAAGTTCATGAGTCACAATTTGCACCTGCGTGTTTATACACGGAGCACAATTTGGATCTTTACGTGTTTGTCGGGAGCATGATTTTTAATGTGAACAGCACACAATGATAGTGTAGCTCATGACTGGCTGAAGATCACCGTCTATCTGCCATGGGTAGACTGCAAACAGGAATGGAGCAAAACGAAGTTGCCAGACATTTTCATGGAAACACAATGTCCTTCTTTTGAGTATTTATCCAGGGCCTCGTCTGTATCAACGCAAATGGTGGTTATCCAACCCCCAACCCCACTCCTACCAAAGCCCTCGCCCTCGTCCCACCAGGTTTAGCTAGTCCTGATTGATATTTTACAGCCGGTGGTAATATAGCTGTAATATTGCTGGCTGCAGCATAAAACACAAAATGCTATTACTAACTGTGTTTCCAACACTAAAAAGCAGTGAAACTTGATAGAAACAAGCCAAGACGATATGACTCATATATTCTCATGGAAAAGGTACAGTAGCGAGAGCAGGTGTTTGTGAAACGGGAGAGTTACCATTGCGCATCCAACACGGCCAGTCAGTCAGAGCTGACAGTACTATTTCCCTTTGTAAGGTTGAATGCATGCACACCCGATCACCACAAGTCACAGGGCACCGCAGTACAGCATGTGAGTGTATACCAAGCGGTAGAAACCAGGTCAGGTCATGTGTTGAATAGACGTTCTACATCCTACACTGCTTGTATTGTACAATTGATGTGTCATCGCATTCATTAAGACTCATTAACCACACGATCATGTATCCAAACTATAGCATCATATGAAATACAGGCAGTCATTTTAAAAGAAAAGATTCAATTACGATACACACGATACGACCACAACACAGACTGTCACAATGTTAAATATGTATGTGTCACGCTAGATTCAGTTGCGATACAAGCGGAAAACAACACAGTCTGTCACATTGTTATATGATATATGTATATGTGTCACGGTAGATTCAGTTCGATGCACACCACAGACGCCTGATTCTGAAAGTAAAAATTAGTTTGTGTTTGCAGCTGACTTTAGGAGACGACACTATGGCCTTGCAGAAAGAGAGTCCAAGGTAGGCTAAAGACAGAACATGTGTTTGTAATTGTGACTATATCTTTTTGCTGAATGTTCTCTCTATACAGATTTACGCTATGATTTATGGAATTTAGCTTCTCAATTAACTCCAAACTTTATACAGATGTCCGCTGCCGATCAGACCGTGTTCTTTATGCGGATTCGCTCGCCACGCCGAAGACCTGGGTTCGATTCCTGACATGGGTACAAGGTGTGAAGCCCATTTCTGATGGCCCCCGCCGTGATATTGCTGGAATATTCCTAAAAGCGGCGTAAAACCATACTCACTAACTCATTCACTCTTTAAGCGGAACAATAGGGTGGTTCGACCCCTAGCCGCGCTTCTTCATCACTGTGTCTTTCGTCTCTACCAACTTAGTTCAATGTATTTTATTTCTTAGTATCAGAATGTTCATATAACTGGTGATAACTGGTGATAACTCATTTTAATGTATATGTATGTACTGTGATATTTCTCATTTTTACTCATATGTATGTGACGTCCTGTGTGTCTCGTAGGCCA